CACTGATTGTTTTCCTAATGTTGAACCATCCCTGCATACCTGGTATAAATCTCACTTGGTCATGGTGAATTATTTTTTTTGATATGTTGTTGAATTCTACTGGCCAGAATTTTGTTGAGGATTTTTGCATCTATGTTCATGAGGGATATTGGTCTCTAATTTTCTTTTTTTTGATTCTGATAAGGCTTGCTTTATGGCCTAATATGTGGTCTATTCTGGAGAATGTTCTATGTGCGTTGGAAAAGAAAGTATATTTGGCTGCTGTTGCGTGCAGTGTTCTGTATATGTCTATGAGATCAAGTTAGTTCATTGTGTCATTTAGATCTTCCGTGTCTTTACTGAGCTTCTCTCTGGGTGTTCTGTCCTTCACTGAAAGTGGTGTGTTGAAGGCTCCTACTATTGCTGTGGAACTGTCTCTCTCTCTCTCTTTTCAATGCTGTTAGAGTTTGTTTTATGTATTTTGGAGCCCTGTCATTGGGTGTGTAAATATTCACTATGATTATGTCCTCTTGTTGTATTGACCCTTTAATCATTATATAGTGTCCTTCCTTATTCTTTGTGGTAGATTTTACTTTAAAGTCTGTTTGTCAGAGATTAATATTGCCACTCCTGCTCTTTTTTCATTGTTTGCTTGATATATTTTATCCATCCTTTGCGTTTTAGTTTGTGTCTTTAAGTCTAAGGTGTGTCTCTTGTAGGCAGCAAATAGACAGATCGTATTTTTTTAATCCATTCTGCCACTCTCTGTCTTTTTATTGGTGCATTTAGTCCATTTCAGCATAATTATTGATAGATATGCATTCAGTGCCGTCATTTTGATGTCTTCTTTTTGTGTTGTTAACAGTTTCTTTGTTCCACTTAATTTTCTGTGCTGAGTCATTTATATATTTTCTTCTCATCATTTTCATTGTTGTTGATTTTGTATTTGCCGAGTCTTTATATTTTTCTTATTTTTTATTTTGATGTGTAGGATTGTTAGTTTTCTCTGTGATTACCTTAATATTTACCCCTACTTTTCTAAGTTTAAACTAGTCTTTTATTTCTTTATATTGCCTTGACTTCCTCTCCATATGAATGATCTATAACTACATTCTTCAGTCCCTCTTTTTTGTTTTAATGTTGTCATCTTTTACATATTGACAGCTGTTTCCCTATTTTCAGCATTTTAGCTTTGATTTGTTTTTGTGTCTTCCCTATCTGGGTTGCTATCTGGTTGCTCTGTCCTGTGTTCTAGTCTTGGGTTGTAATCTGATGTTATTGGTTTTCTAACCGGGGGACTCCCTTTAGTATTTCTTATAATTTTGGTTTGGTTTTTGCAAATTCCCTAAACTTCTGTTTATCTGGAAATGTCCTAATGTCACCGTCATATTTGAGAGACAGTTTTGCTGGATATGTAATTCTTGGCTGGCAATTTTTTTCCTTCAAGATTTTATATATGTCATCTCATTGCCTTCTTGCCTGCATGGTTTCTGCTGAGTAGTCTGAGCTTAGTCGTATTGACTCTCCTTTGTAGATGACTTTTCATTTATCCCTAGACACTTTAAAAATTCTCTCTTTATCTTTGGTTTTGGAAAGTTTGATTATAATATGTTTTGGTGACTTTCTTTTGGGATCTACCTTGTGTGAGGTTTGATGACCATCTTAGATAGATATCGTCTCATTTTTCACAGTATAAGGGAAGTTTTCTGCCAACAAATATTTAACAATTCTCTCTGTATTTTCTGTCATCCCCCTGTTCTGGTACTTCAATCACTTGTAGGTTATCCCTCTTGATATAGTCCCACATAATTCTTAGGATTTCTTCATTTTTTAAATTCTTTTATATGATTTTTCCTTAAATTAGTTGGTATCAAGTGCTTTATCTTCACTCTCACTAATTCTGACTTCCATTGGCTCAATTCTGCTCCTATGACTTTCTATTGAGGTCTCTAATTCTATAATTTTATTGTTAATCTTCTGTATTTCTGTTTGCTGTCTCTCTGTGGATATTTGCAGCCTGTTAAATTAGTCATTATGCTCTTCTATAATCCTCTTAAGTTCCTCTATTGCTTTGTCTGTATGTTCCTTGGCTTGTTCTTCATTTTGCATGATCTCCTTCCTGATATCTTGAAGAGTTTTGTATATTAATCTTTTGTATTCTATTTCTGGTAATTCCAAGAAGTCCTCTTCCTCCAGAAGATTTCTTGATTCTTTGTTTTGGGAGCTTGCTGAAGCCATCATGGTCTGCCTCTTTATATGATTTGATACTGAGTTTTGTCTCTGTGCCATCCATATTTATTTTATGTTTGCTTACTGTATCCTAGCTTCCTGTTTTGTTTTGTTTTGATATAGCCAAACAGGCTGCTGATGTGAGTTAGCTTGATTATTGGCACCTTTGAAGCTCTAACGTCCTGTCACCAGGTGGTTAGATCTGTTACTAGATATGTGAACTCAGGAGTCCTTTTATTTTTCTTGTATGGATTCAGCTCAGGTGTCCAGGTAGTCTGTCACCAAGTGTGTGGTGCAGGCTCTCACCTACAGTCCTAGATGGGCAGGAGTGATTGGTGTAGGCACAGGTATCTGGCTGCAGTAGGGGGTCATGAGCTCAGCAAGGTAGGGGACTGACAGCTGTCCCTGAGTGTCTGGAAGGAAAGCCTGTCCCTGATCCCTAGAGTGCACTGTGGGTGGGTTTTGCAGCTGGACTATGGGCACTCAATGCTGTTGGCTGTAAGGATTGGGAGGCATCACTTATTCTTAGACCCCTGTTGTGGGTGGCTAGGTAGGGTGGGTGGAGCCACCAATCCTCAGGCCCCTGATGTGGGTAGGTGAAGACCCTACTTAATGGGCAGAGTGGTGTTAAATGTCATGAAACTGCCAGTCCACCATATAGCTGACAGTTGAAGTTAGGCTTCAGGTATATACCCTGTTGTACTGTGCTAGTGAAGGCCTATGCTGTTGAAATGGGTCCACACAAGTCTAAGCAGGGGTGAAAAGCATTCGACGTCCATGGACCCCATATGCCTGTGCCTAGGGAGCTGTGCCTGCCCTGAGTTCCTGGTTTAGGGAGGATTATTTTTTCCTGTTTGGTAATCTGTTCCCTCTCCAAGGCTGGGAGAATGGTTCAGGGCACATGACATGTCCTTACTTCCATCCCAGGGGACGCAGCAATGGCTGAACATGGCCCGGGACCAGTGCAGAGCAGGGAGGGGGCAGGTAAATGGAAAAGAGGTTTTTCCCAAAGGGGGTGTTTTTTGATCCACACTGTAGGTTAGATGCATGTATTTATCCTTTGCTGATTGAGCGTCACTTTTCACTGGTTCTGGAGGCTTGAGTAGACTCTCCACCCCTTGGTCTCTCCCAATGTGGAAAACATAACCTGAGTGCCACTGCTTGCCTCACCGTGTGCACCAGGTACCAGTTCCTGCCTGGTCAGGTCTGGCAACTTCTTGCTACTTCTGAATTGTCTCTCCCTCTCCTGCTGCTCAGTCTGATTCCTCAACTTTGCCTTTGATATTCAGGGCTCCTAGATTGTCATACATAATTTATTTACTTGTTTTTTTGGGTCTTTGTTGTAGGAGGGACCACAGGAAGAGTCTGAATACTCCACCATCTTGGCGCCCCCCTCTCAAAATGTTCTTTTTTGCAAGGAATGCAATGCCATTCCTCTTCAAGTTGTCATTCCTGGCATAGTAGACCATATGACTGTCTGATTCAAAATGGTCAATGCCAGTCCATTTCAGCTCACTAATGCCTAGGATATTGATGTTTATGCATTCTATTTCATTTTTGATGACCTCCAGTTTTCCTAGATTCATACTTCGTACATTCCACGTTCCTGATTTTAATGGATGTTTGCAGCTGTTTCTTCTCATTTGAGTCATGCCATATCAGCAGATGAAGGTTCTGAAAGCTTGACTCCATCCATGTCATTAAAGTTGACTCTGCTTTGAGGAGGCAGCTCTTCCCCTGTCGTATTTTGAGTGTCTTCCAACCTGAGGGGCTCATCTTCTGGCGCTATATTAGACAATGTTCCACTGCTATTCCTAACGTTTTCACTGGCTAGTTTTTCAGAAGTAGACCACCAGGTCCTTCCTAGTCTGTCTTAGTTTGGAAGCTCCACTGAAACCTGTCCACTATGGGTGACCCTGCTGATATTTGAAATGCCAGTGGCATAGCTTCCAGCATCACAACAATACGTAAGCCACCACAGTATGACAAACTGACAGACGTGTGGGAAGAGATAGAAATAACCCTAGTCAATTGAAAAGGATATAGAAAATCTAGATATGCTTCTTTTTTTGATAGCCATGGAACAAAAGGGCTATGAATTCTGTTCAGTCCTGTTCTAAATAGCACACCAGTACTTTTTTCATTCAAACAAGCTGTGAGACCTTCAAAAAAATAGCAAATCTCTACTCCACATTTATACCTCAAAGACTACCCTTTTGTTCTCTCTTATAAAAATATATTGAATTCAACTAAGCTTAATTGAAGGGATTATTTATAATTTTTCACACAATGTAACAAATTGCTTTCAAAAATCCTAACAGCTTAACATTCACAGTTATTATTAATTCAGTCCTTTTGATTTGCTTTTTTGATGAACAGTTTATTTCTCTAGTCAGTTAAAACTGTGACCCTAGGTATTTATTGCCCCTAATTCAAATTCATTGTACATGTTTCTTATTAAACTTTTATTAAGGCATCTTCTACTGTTTCAGTAAATTGGTTTCTAAACTCTAGTCTTCAGGTTTGAAACATGCTTCATCCTCACAGGTAATAAACAGAATAAAATTACAGTTAAAAATTATATATTGTTTAGGTAATATTATTAAATAACTAATACTTTGGACAGGGTTCATATTTTGATTTAATTTCTGTGAATGCTTTTCTAAGCTCAGTTGAGCTACAAACATGCACAATTAAACTTAAATCTGGATATCATGTTCTTTTCTTTTCCAGTTCTAAAAGTGAATGTGATGAAAGTCAATACTCAGTCAACCCAGAGCTGGCAGAGATGTCTTACTTTCATCCATCTGAAGGTGTATCAGACACATCTTTTTCTAAAAGTGCAGAGAGCAGCACGTTTTGGGGCAACAATTCTTCAGAATTTAGAAAATCAGGCCCAAGAAAGTCAAAATCTAAAAGTATGACAGATATGGTTTCCACAGGTTCGGATGATATAGGTGCATACGATGAGCCATATGGAAGTGAGGAACTGAATGAGGGAAACCCCACTTATTAAAAGACAACTTAATTCCTTTTTCATAATAAATAAAAATAAAAACTACTGTCTTTGGGACTCACATTAAAGTCATAATTTTGAGAAATTTGCATTTTCTGGTGTCTTAAAAAAAGGAAAATATTAAATAAAATGTTCTCAGTTATGAAGACTATTTAATGGGAAATGCTCAACAAATAATTTAATGTGTGGAAAACAAATCAAGTAAAAATAATCCTGGAAAGTGACTCATGAAGATATCTACTCTTAAGTTTGTTCATTTTAAAATGAGGTTATTTAGATATTTACCGTAACTGGGGGCATTTTGAGGAATTTCATGGTAATCAGCACTGCCTACCCCGCCCTCCAAAGCAAAAAGACACCTGTTCATGTTTTATTGGCAAAACAATGATGCCATAACAAGACATAAAATGAACTTGGTGCTAGGACTCCTAGTATTCTTGTATGTTTAAAAGCCATCAGAGCTGTTCTCACAAGACAAACAGAAAAATATTTTTTCGCATTTCTAGAGTATTTGTAATAGTTCGAGATCACATACGAAAACCAAAAAACCAAACCTGTTGCCACTGAGCCGATTCCAACTCATAGGGACCCTATAGGACAAAGTAGAACTGCCCCATAGGGTTTCCAAGGAGCTGCTAGTGAATTCAAACTGCAGACGTTTTGGTTAGCAGCCATAGCTTTAACCACTGCATCATCAGGGCCCCTTGAGATCACACAGTATCCCAGAAAAAGAGAAAGGAAGAGGGGATCCTAGCATGCAATTTTCTAGAGGGGGATTCATGACCCGCAAGTCTTTCAGAGCTGAAGGGCCTGCTCTTCCTCTCTTCTCCCAGGCATCTGGGCTCTATATGTTCTATTGGAAGAATAGCAAAGTACCTCAAACATGAATTCAAGTTATGATGACTTATGAGGGTATCCGTCCCAGGAATATTTCAGTTTACAAAGAGGACAACTGGAATAGTTTTAGTAGTTCCCTTCTAGAGATTAGTTTTAACTGGAAGGATTTTAGGCACTATACATCTTTCATGGATACATGTGGATATCAGGGGTGGACAGGGAGGATTGGGGCAAGATTCCCTGCCCTCCTAATATCTCCCATGAGTGCTTCCATTTATTGCGTGCCTACTTTATGCTTGGCAGTTTTGTACATTGCATCACATAGAATTCTACTACTAGCCTACGAAAGGTGAATTTATTTTACAGATTCAAGAAACAAAAAATCAGGTAAGTCAGCTACCTTGCCTAAGGTCATCCGGCTAGATAGGGGCAAAGTTAAGATTTGCTTCAAAACTGAGGTTCTCTCCATGTCCCACGCAGGTTAATAGTTAAACATAACAAAAGTCAAAGGACATGGTTTAGCAGCAAGGCAGGCCCTGAATCAGCAGGCATGATGTTCTTTAACTTAGGTGTTCTTTCAGGTTTTGGGAAATTGTTTTCCGTCCCTCTGGTTGAGGTCTCCATTTCTTCCCTAAGGCTGACACGCCCACTTTACATTCACCTACCACTTTCTCTACCTTCCACTATCAGTGTCCTTTACTCACTCTACAATTTCCTCCCTAGACTCCAGCCTCTGCCTCACCATTGGCTGCGAAGGCCACAAAGCTCCACCTTTGAGTAGCAATGAAGCATATAAGATGGTACCTTTGCCAAAAAGAGACAGGAGGACTGGGGCTCACCTTTGCCTCATCTCTGCCAATAGCACCCAGTGTTTGAGCCAGTGGGGGTGGTCTTAAGCAGCGGCCCATGCTACCCTCTGCCCGTTGCTTCTGCCATTTTCCACGACCTTTTCACAGCTAGCAACTCGGGGACTGAGTGTGGGCGTTTTTACCACCACTTTAGGCACTGAGAGATGCAGTGGGGACGGAGTGAGGCAAGTGGGTGCAGTGGCTTGGAGGTGCTCCAGGTGCAGAGAAGCCATGTCAAGTCCAAGGGTGAGAAAGCACTTGTGAGAGGAATGCCAGATGGGCTTCGGGAGGGGTTAATGACCAGGCATTCCCAAGGTGTCAAGAATTTTCTTGATTAGAAATAGGTATAAGAGCTGCTTTTGAATTAACTGTTACTTGTCCCCAGTGTTAAAGTAAAGCATCGTAGAGAGAGAACATTAATCAGTATAGCATCACTGTGGCTAATATGCCTAAAATGGACAAAAGAGATATGTTGTTAACAAAAACATTAACATCCTGAGACAGTCGGCATAGCTTGTAGATACTATGGTAAGGTGCAGTTGAGGTATCTGGAGGGAGCAGGGAGCCCAGAAGCCAGCAGGAAGAATGTCAGCTAGCTTTCTGGGAGGTGGAGTGGGTCCAGCGCACTTGGCTGTTTTTCTGCTCCTTACTGATGTCCACCTTCCCTTCTCTCCTAGTCTAGGAGTGAGGAGAAGGTCATACAGCCCAGACTGGTGGGGAGGGGTCTTCTAATTTGTCTACTACTGACCCTCCATCCCATGGCAAAACCGGCATTTCCTGAACGGGTTCTCTGGACCTCTGACCTGTTTTCCCTGGAAGGTCACAAAGAAACCAGTTCCACTTTAACCTATCGGTCTCTCCCTATCCTGAAACATTCTCTGATTTCCTTTCCCTGATGCTTCATCTCTGACCCAAAGAGGGGCTTTAATTTAAATTCTGTTCCCCAACCCCCACCCTGGTGAGCTGTATGTTGCTGGTGTTTGTGAGTTTTCCTCTACTGTTTCGATTTACAAAAATCAAAAACAAAAACAAAAAACCAAACCCATTACTGAGGAGTCAACTCTGACTCACAGCGACCCTACAGGACAGAGTAGAACTGTCCCACAGGGTTTCCAAGGAGCGGCTGGTGGGCTTGAACTGCCGACCTTTTGGTTGGCAGCCGAGCTCTTAACTACTGCACCACCAGGGCTCCTTTTAACTTGCAACTATAGTTAAAACTCCTCTAGACTGGCTCTGACGGGTGAGAGAAAAAGAACGAGCACTTGCCTTGGGACGAGGAACCAAGTTGCTTCAGAGCCCCCAAGAGTAAGTCTACACAGCATCACCCACGCAGGATCAGGAGCCTTAAATGCTAGCTTTTAACCCATTCTTTCCTCGTCCCTCACTCTGAAGTGTTCCACGCTGAACAGTTGGGGATGCTATGGAGGTCCTATTTTTGCTTGCGGTTTAGGTGGTCACGTGGTTCCCGAAATCTGGGAGGAAGGGTTCCGGGTGACATTCAGAAAGGCGGTCCTGTGGGAAGGTAGTGCTAAGAGTAGGCGCCGCTGCCCCAAAAGCTGTCCATGTAGGGCGCCCTGCTTGCTGCTTGGTCTGGGGACCACGTCACGAGACGTGTGAGTAGGTGGCGCGGTGGGCTTGTGGTCTTGCCAGTGCCAGCTCCATGGAGCATGGGATCCGAGAAAGGCGTGCATCTTGGAGTTGCTTGTTTGTGGTCTTGTGGGGTCCTACCCTCTCTCCTTGTCATCCATGTCCAAAGGGATGGGTGGTGAAAGGGGGGCGGTGTGGAACCCCCGGTTGAAGTGGTTGGTTGGGAAATGTTAATTCCGATGGGGAGCAGGGAGTAATTACAAATCAAAAGGAGCAGTTCCCAATCACCTTTAGCCTTAAAGATTTTAAGTGTGTCCTCGACTTGAAAACTATTTCTTCAACTCTACCTTCCGGTGGAGTAAAAAAACAAATTAAAATGCTTGTGACGTGGAAGGAACGTATAATCAGGTTTCTTTTGTTTCTTTCCGTAGTGTCTCCAAAACACGGCTGAAAACAGCCCTTCCTGAGTCGTGGCACGTGTCAAAGGGCGTTTCTGGCTGGTTATCCAGAATTACTCCCGCTTCCAATTTTATTAAAAAAGAAGTTTGATCCAGGCGTTTATATTTGGATCCTAGGATAATTCTCATTCTTGTGCTTGCTCTTCTCCTACTCCTCCCACACCCATCAAAATGTCACACACCTAATATATTGTTTTGGGTTTCAATAAAGTTAATTTCTTAATAGAAAATGAATGGTGAGATGAAAGGCTATTGAGCCAGAGAAAACTGAATGTATGAAGAGGAAGCATGTGTGTGTTATCTAAGTATGTAGGTTATCTAAAATAAAGTCAGAGATTTTTTTTAAAGCATAATGTGGGCCACATCTCAGATCTAAAATCTCTTGTGTAGGTTGATACCATGATTAATATAGGAAACTATATCTTGGAAAGAAGGAAGAAGTTGTGATTCCCCTAATAAAAATGAAGGAAAGAGCTACTCGGGTGTTAGGATACCCATTACTTCTACTCTTAGCTTTTATCACTATTCTCAGGAGGGTGGATTCAGCTGCTCTGGGATTTTGCTTGTTTGATTTTTCTTTTTTTTTTTTAAGATTTTTATAATTGTTAGGGGAAGGGTTGTTTTGTTTTTGAGGCATTCTATAGAAGATCAGCGACCTTAGTGAGAATGTTGAGACCCACTGAATTAAGGAAAGACTAATGTTTGGCATAGTGGTTAAAAGTTCAGCTGCTAACCAAAAGGTTGGCAGTTCAAATCCACCAGCCGCTCGTTGGAAACTCTATGGGGCAGTTTCACTCTGTCCTATAGGGTCTCTATGGGTCAAATCAACTCGACAGCAATATTTAATGTTTTAAATTTTTTTTTATGGACAGAGATTTATTGGTGTGTGCTCAGCTGCTAACCAAAAAGTCGGTGGTTTGAACTCACCAGCTGCTCCATGGAAGAGAGATGTGGCAGTCTGTTTCCATAAAGATTTACAGCCTTGGAAACCCTATGGTACAGTTTCACTCTGTCACGTAGGGCCGCTATGAGTTGGAATCCACTTGACGGCAGTGGGGTTTTTTGTTTCTTTTTTTTTGTAAGACTACATACAGTTTATGTTCATAGTATTCAGCTATTTGAACTGTTTCCAAATTGTCACTGGTTGGTAATAAATAAGGCAAGTAGTTTGTATCCAAACCATATCATGTTTTACACACTTGAATAATTATGCATAAGCCAGGCCTGTTCCAGTGATGTGTAGTTACTTTAGTAGTAAAGCATGAATGTA